AGGGTATAGGGCTTAGGGTTTAGGGTTTAGGGTTTAGGGTTTAGTGGTTTAGGGGTTTAGGGGTTTAGGGTTTAGGGTACAGGGTATAGGGTTTAGGGGTTTAGGGTTTATAGGGTATAGGGTTTATAGGGTTTAGGGTTTATAGGGTTTAGGGTTTATAGGGTTTAGGGTTTAGGGGGTTTAGGGTTTAGGGGGTTTAGGGTTTAGGGTTTAGGGTTTAGGGTAGACCCAGGACTCGAGACTTAAACCCCTGGAACCCCTAACTCCCCCAAAGCCTGAACCGAACCCCTAGATCCCTAAACCTCCTTAAGACCTCAAGAACCCCTAGATCCCTAAACCTCCTTAAGACCTCAAAGACCTAGGGACTCAGCCTCATGAAGCACATCCGAATGCTGCCGCAGCAGCTTCAGACGTTTCGGGTGCAGGACGGGGTTGAGGAGTGGGTTTTGGGTTTCGGGCTTCGGGTTTTTAGGGCTTTGGGGTTTAGGGCTTAGGGTTTAGGATGTTTAGGGCTTAGGGTTTAGGGCTTAGAGTTAGGGCTTAGGGTTTAGGGCTTAGGGCTTAGGGTTTGGGCTGTCAGATTCTTCAGAGTCTGGGCAGATCAGGGTTTCGTTTTGGTTTGGAAGATCTTTACCGGAAGTCGGGGAGTTCACGGACTTTGGGCTTTCAGCTCGGGGGGTTCGGGGATGGCAGAGTTCCGAGATCTTGAAACTTCGTGCTCTTCTTGGATATTCGGCACCCTAAACCCTAAACCCTAAACCGTGTGAGACTTGATCTGGACTTGGGTTGCGAGGACGTGTGGGTTCCCTGGGCTTCAGAGGGATCCTTCGGATCGAAACCCTAGACCCTGAACCCTAAACCCTGAACCCTAAATTGAGGGTTTAGGGTTTAGGGTTTAGGGGTTTAGGGTTTAGGGACTTTCGATGGTTTCCCGCATCGGTGCTCCCGGGCCCACCTTTCTTTGTGCTGCTCTATGGCATGGAAAATGCCATGTTGCAATAGATCCCAAACAGCTCCTTGAGGGTCTCGAGTCTGGGGCTTAAGTAGGGTTTTGAGCTTGAGCGATTGTCGGAAATAACATATCTGACCTTCAGGAATCTAGGGTTTATGAGGGTTCTTTCTATGGATCCGAATATTTTGGGGTTATAGGGCCCAGCCCGAAACGGTTGCCGTCCATCCAGGTGTAGGGGCTTTAGGGTATAGGCTTTAGGGTCTGTAGTAACCCTGGACAGAAGCATTTTGGTGCGCTAGAAACCCTAGATAGGATCTGATTGCTGAGAGGTTTGGTGCTGCAGGAGTGGAGGGATGTACACCGGAAGCCCAAGAACCCTGAGCCCTACACCCCAAACCCTGAACGTGAACCGCATGCGTGCCGGAAGTATCAGGCTAATATGGGGGCCTAAATAATTACCTATAGTATTCTGGTGGTTCCTTATGATAAATATAGTATAATGGACCCCACAGCTCTATGCTAATTATTAAGGCCCCTACATTAGATTCCACAACACCTGAAAGCCCGACCCCGGAAGCCCTGAACACAGACAGCCATATGCCCCACACCCAGCCATAATCCTGAGCCCCTCTCTAATGTAAAGTTCCCACCAGTGTTAGTTTAAACTATGCGGTGGCATGCCCTACACCCTAAACCCTAAACGCTAAACCAATGACTGGCTCCTCCTGGTAAGGAATTCTGTCTGTTTTGCAGGTGGAAAAGGGCCCACACACAAAAAAAAGAGCTAAGCCCTCTTTACCCCCCAGCCCTCTCTCTCTTTGCCCTCCCACGGAAAGACGAGAGGAGGCCCAGTGCTTCTGCTGCAGCAACGACCATCGTCATCCGGAGTCTCAAAAACCCCTTCCCTGCGATCGCCTGCTGGTCTTCAACACTCTGAGGCCCCCGGGGGTTTTGAGGTTCTTGCAAAGGAGCTCAGCCATAATACATCAGAAGAAACCTTGACCTACGAAAACCTACTTTTTTGTAGGTTCTTGTTACAAACCCTGATATGGGATTTATAGGGACCCTACAAAAAAGTAGGTTCTGGTGGGTTAAGGAAGGCCCGAAAGGGTATTTAGGGCTGACGCCCGGGTCGATGAAGCGAAGGGCGACCCAGGCCCTAGCATTGAGTCATGGGGGTTCTTCACCTTGGGCTCTGGCTCTTTACAGTTTAAGGATCCGTTGATGTCTCAAAGCTTCATGGGTCAGTCGTTCAGAAGCTCCTGTCCAATGGAGGAGACCTCGGAGCGACCGGGCAGCGTTGAAAGGGTTTGGGGTTTAATAGATAGTAATATTAGCGGTACCCCTTACAGGGTACCCCTTCGAAACCCTACTTTTGGCTCTCTTAAAAGGGAACTTACTGAGAGGGTCTATATCCCCAAGGGTCCCCCTAATCCTAGCTCCCATTTAAGGTCCGCTCAGATGCTTTCAGAAGCCCCCGCCTCCACCAGTCCTCGCAGGCAGTGGTATGGGGAAGTGGATGAGGACCATTTCCTCACTTCGTCTTCCTTTGAGGTTTGGACGTTAAATGCAAAGTACGTTCAAGAATCTGTGCTGTAACTGTAGGGTTTCGGGTTGAGTTTAGGGCAACCTGGCTGGTGTACCTCAAGAATAAAGTTTCTTATCATAAGCCTTGACTGATACGTGGTGTCGGGTCCTAGGAAGAGGCTCTAATGCTGTAGGGGCTTGAAGACTTCGTAAGAGTATTCCTTTACAGCCCTTACATAATCAATATAGGGGTCTTAATAATTAGACTAGGATTTGGGGTATAGTATACTGTGATTATAAGAACGAACCCCCAGAATGGTATAGGTAATTCTTCCCTACATGATGCAACCAGCCATCCCGAAAACTTGTTCTGCTTATTCAGGCCCCTACATCTACCAGGCTGTAAGTGCCCAGAGCCACCAACAGGAGCAGCCTAAGGGTTCTGCCAAAATGCTTGGCTGAGCCACGTCACATGCACGCAGCGATTATCTAGGGTTTAAGGTTCAGGGTTTAAGGTGCAGGGTTTAGGGTTTAGCATCTTTGCTACTATTGCAATTATTCCTGCTCTTGTTAGTGCTATTACTAGTATTAGTCTTGTATGCGGTTAACTGTCCCGCCCGTCTTGTGCGATGTCCTCCAGAAAGTCCCCGCCTGCGGGCCTGAACCATGACCCCTTTTTTAGCGTCCGGTGAAACATAGCAACGGGGCCTTAAGAATCGGAATAGGGTTTGGGGTATTTTAGAGGGGCTGATTATCAAAACTGTAGTATACTCTACCCCCCAAACCCGATTAGTTGAGCAGAACTTGTTTCGCCGGTTGTTGATGTAACCCTGATAGAGATCATGCAGCCAGACAACCCCCAAACGACCCGCAACTCCCCAACACGCTACAACAAAAGCCTTCAGTTCTAAACCCAGAAGACACGAATCCACATAGCTCGCAGGCTACCACACGTCTGTGCAACTGGCAACTTGAAAGCTGCCAAGCCCTAAACCCTAAACCCTAAACCCTAAACCCTAAACCCTAAACCCTAAACCCTAAACCCCCAGACCCTCAAGCCCTAGAGCCTGCTCCCTTACACCCTGAACCCAACAACCGCAAAACCCCAAAAACCTACAACTCCCAACTCAGGGCCCCAGCTTCGAACACCGAGCCCCAAACGCTAAACCCGAAAGCCTTTAAAAAGCCTTCCCTAAACCCTAAACCCTAAACCCTAAACCCTAAACCCTAAACCCGAAGGATCCCGAGGGGCACTTGGAGACTTTCAACGCGATGGTGCGCGACGTGATGTCAAACAAGATGATGAAGGCCAAGGGCTCAGGGCGCCTAAACCCCGAAGCCCGCAGAACTAGTGGGGTTTAGGGGTTTCGGGGTTAGGACGTAGGGTTTTTCGGGCAGGAGGTGTTGGGATCTGGAGTTTACGGTAGTCGGGTTTAGGGGATTTCAGATTGAATTTTTTCGCACCCATCCCAGCTCCGTCAAAGCTTCGTCGGCCTCCTTGATTTCCATTTGCGGCTTGCGCTAGACCTGAAGTGAAGCCGTGATCGCAAAGGCGGAGCAATTCACCATGGTACTGTCTTGCAGCCCATTTTCCGAGAACCCCACGTCTGAATCCGGCATGAATCCGCTAAATCCTCACCACCAAGAGCTTCGTTGGTTGTTCAACATTGCTCCAAGCCCCGGGTGGCCTGACGTACACGCCTGCAAGGCGGCTTGCGGCGAAACGCTTCCCTTCCACTACGCCTTGAACATGGTGGCAGACCTGCAGCCAGCCTCCTAGGCCCCTTTCACCCTTTCTTGAGGGGGGTCTGTACTCGTATAGTCGTATAGTGCTCGTGTGGTACTCGTGAAGTACTGGTACAGTAGCAGGATAGCACTGCAAGACAGAATCCCGAATAATTACCCATTTTTAAGCCTTAGGGTTACTTATTGTAGTTATCCTCGAGGTGTCTGGGTTTATACCCTTGATCCTCAAGCCCCTGCTGTCATGTTTGCCGGGACCCGGACCACCGAAAAGCAAGAAAGCACACCTCCCGCAGAGAAGAGGTAGAATTATCATTCAGACTAGTAGTAGGAGTAGTACCAGCAGCAGGAGTAGTACTAGTAGTAGAAGAAGTAGAAGAAGAAGCAGTAGTAGTAGCAGCAGCAGGAGGAGGAGGAGTAGTAGTAGTAGTAGTAGTAGTAGTAGACGATACCAACTACGCGGGTCTGCACCTTAATTGCAGCACCTCGGCGTTACACGATATTTACAGTGATTTATCTATCATACATCACTGTCCTACTACTTTTGCTTTACCACAATCCTCCTCGACAATCAGCTCAGAGGACGGTCGGGGGTCGGGGGTGGGAGGGTGAGGGTGCGGGGGAAGGGCGTGGGTAATCATGACCCGAATACAGCATGCCGGACATCTTAATGCCCCAACCAAAACGTCAAAAATACTCATAGACAAGTGCTCGGACCACTGGCTCTGCACACCGGCACACTGGTTGCGGCATCATCGTGATGCGCTGTATTAGCCGCTGGGGTTGTGTGTCGAGGCTTCGGTCACCCGCTGGTGGATGTGGGGGTTTCCGAAAATAGGGGACCCTAATATAGTACCCTAAATAATAGGATCCCTATTATAAGGACCCCAAAATAAGGTACCCTAATTTTCTAAAACTCCCATGTGCTTTGCATGCTTGGCCCTGGAACCGCAAACCTGAGTAGCGTACCATCGTCCGAGTCCCGTAGCCCCAAATGCCCGACAGAAACTCCTTGATTCCGAAATGGGTTTTGGGGGATGATGTTGTCATTGTGTCAACTATGTGTATATATATATATATATATACTCTATAAGGACTTCAAGGGAACATCATAACTAGTTCTTCTGACCCATGTATTGAGGTGGTGACTGCAAACATCCCTTGGCTGACGGAATACGTCGCCAAGTTCCTCGGCTTCTTCTCCGGGGCCTTCGCCACACAATGCATGTGAGCTCTATATCATCCTTAAATAGCCCTAAATCCTAAGCCCTAATCCCTATAGGTTCGAGTTGTGGTTCTGGGCACTATGGGCGCAAGAAGGAGCTCTAGACAAGCTCAACGAATTCCTGGAGCAAACCTCTGGCACGAAAGCCTCCGATCAGACAGGTAAGCAGATCCAGGCCTATGGTTTAGGATTTCTAGATGTTCCCATCCTAAACCCTAGACAGCCTGCGCCAGAAGGCATCATGCCTCGTCCAGCCAGCCATTGATCGCGACTGCGAGTGAGTCATATCTCTTACACTGGAACATCTTCATGTGCTAATAATACTTAAGCCAAAACCCGCGAGCTCGTGCCCCCGTTTCTGCAACGCCCAGCTGCATGTCCTTCGCCTGGATCTTTGTTCGAGTTTTCCGCGTGATATCAGCTTCCAGACCCGTTTCGTAGCCCTTCGAAACGAAACCCCAAGTCCCATCCCCTAAGCCGCAAGCCATTCCTAAACTCCTCAACCTCCTGAAGCCTAAACCCTAAACCCTTAATCCTAAACCCTAAACCCTAAACCCTAAACCCTAAACCCTTAAGGCCCGAAACCACGGCAGGTTAGGGGCCGGGCCTCCGATCCCCTTGGAGGGGCTTGGGCTCCTGGTTTGGAGCCTGCGGACCTTCATGGACACTCTTTCGGCTGTGGGGTCTATAGGGTTAAGGGTTTAGGGGTTTAGGGGTAGCTTGGAGGCACTTCAGAGAGACCTCGTTCAAAAAGGGGTTTAGGGGTTTAGGGTTTGGGGGTTTAGGGTCTAGGGTTTAGGTTTAGGGTTTAGGGTTTAGGGTTTAGGGTTTAGGTTTAAGGATTAGGGTTTGGACGCTCTTTCGGCCGTGGGGTCTAGGGTTTACTTAGTTCCCCAATACCCAACCTTTAAACTTTTTGGGTTCTTATAACTTAGTAGTAATCTGAAAGTTTAACCTTTTATTTCCCTGGCTTATTGGAGAAGTAGGTTTAGGTTTACGGATTAGGGTTTAGGGTTCAGGTTTAGGGATTAGGGTTCAGGGTTTGGACGCTCTTGCACCCCACTTCATCTCTTCTTGCTTGTAAGCCTGCAGCAGAAGGGCTTTAATTAGTTTTTCTCAGTTGTCGCAATAGGCCTGGGTTTTTTGATTTGGGGTTTGTTTGTTTGGTCTATCATCGAAATAGACCCCTGAGTTGTAAACAACTGAAGTCGAACGAAGCGACATACTAGGGTTTCGGTCTTCAATACCCTGTAGGAGCCGCCGTGAGGACCGAGTTTCTTCCATAACCATACATCTACATCCTCGCTCCGAAGCATGGAACGCTTAAGCTCAGGGTTTAGGTTTTAGGGTTTAGGGTTTAGGGTGTAGGACCCTAAACCCTAACCCCTAAACCCTAAACCAACTGCAGTGATTTCGGCAACTCCGGTGGTAGGGCTTAAGCTCAGCCCTGAATTCTAAACTGCCAAAGGCTGAGGGGCATCGAAGGTATAGGCTTGGGCGTGACTCATCACCAAGTTTAGGGTTTAGGGCTTTAGGGTTTGGGGTAGGCGACTCAAAATCAACCTGAACCCTTGAAGCGTATACGATCTCAAACCATAAACAAAAGCCTACCCGAAGAAACTGAACCCGAGGCTGAAGCCCTACATTCGCTGTCCAATGTGTATCCTTTTGCTGGTTAACCGGTATTACGGTGTGGACCCTGTAATAGCGAAGGAAGGCCAGCAAGAAGCTATCGCATGGTAAATGCAACAAATGATCACAACTTTCACCCCTTCCCCCCAAACAAAATACGATACCCTCAAACCGGGAGTTAACCCAAATCCTGGAACTTGAGCTTCTAGTATTGGGCGTCGAGGCACTCAATACAGGTTGCGATGCTGAAAACAGCTTGCCATCACCATGCATGCTTAGACTGGTAAGTTCTGATATCCTGAAGACAGGCCTTAAGCTTTAACCACAGTGACAGTTTTGCATGAAGTCTTGGTGTCTTCAGTCTTCAAAGCAACAACCCAGTGGTCCCCCCCCAAACGAGTCCGACGCCCAGCAAAGGCTCTGTTCCATCCAACCTGACCCCGAGACCCCAAAAGATTTGCCCAACCCTTGAACACCAGGGCCTGAGGTCTTTAAAGCGATCTTTCCTAGGGCTCAGGGCTTAGGGTTTGGGGTTTAGGGTTTAGGGTCTAGGGTTTAGGGTTTAGGGTTGGGGATTAGGGTAAGATCTTTCCTCTAGCTTAAGCCACCGAAGGTTGCCGCCCTAAACCTAAAATCTCCAAGACATCCCCCCTAAGCCCTAAACCCCACAACGGTGTGATTACAGTAGCACTAGCTTGAGATCTCCAAAGATCCGCCCCAAAACCTCAAACCCCAAAAGACTGCCCCGAGCCCTACAAAAAGTCTCCATTGCATCCTTGTTTTGGTTTAACCATGTGCGAGTTAAAATTCAGGCTCCTTCAAGGTCAATGGGCACCAAAGGTAACACTTTCAGACCCTAAACCCTACACCCTTCAACCCTAAAGCCTTAAACCCCTAAACCCTAAACCCACACGTAACCCTAAACCCCTACAGTGGAGACGATCGGTAAGCCACAAAGAGATCCTCGGTTTAGGGTTTAGGGTTTAGGGTTTAGGGTCCAGGGTTGCGGAGGACTGGGCGCAGATGTGCCTGATGATGCTCTGCGCCATGCGCTGCAGCGTGTGGCTTTGGTGCCGAGGTCCGGTCCCGGGTTTCGATTTCAGGGTTTAGGGTTTAGGGTTTAGGGCGAGGTCCGGTTCCGGGTTTCGATTTGAGGGTCCCTTCCTTTGAAGGGGTCTAGAAGGGTTTGCGTAAGGGTACTATTCGGGTTCCTTTTATGGGGTCTATGGTATCTGTAAGGGTGCTAGAAGGGCCTTACGGTTTTCGGGTTTAGGGGTGTAGGGTTTAGGGATTAGGGTTCAGGTTTTAGGGTCTAGACCTTTGCAGGTTTAAGGTTTCGGGTTCTGCCTCCAAATTTTTCAATTTTCTTTGTTATCTCTAGCTTTCGCACTTTGCATTGCGCGTTGGGGTTGCCGCTCTTCTTGTTACTCCTTTTATATGTCCTGGTGTAAACCCATCCCGATGCTTTCAGAAAGGACCAGGATACCCATCATATTGGAAAGCTTGTCAACCGCGGATTGGGGGGATGCTACGAACCGGAGGTGTGTAATACCGGTTTTCTCGGGTTTCACTCATACTTTCCGTTTTGGTACCCTGTCTTGGTTTATCCATGCGACGGTTAGGGCTAACGGTTAAGGGACCCCAGAATCAAGAAGCAGGTAATCAAACCTGGAGAATTACATTCAAGACTCTACTTATGGCATGATTCAGAGCTTTGGCTCCAGGATATGAGACTTCCATAACCCACCCTTGATGTAGCATAGCAAGAACACCTCTCACTCTTGCGGTTCAGGCCAATCCATGGCATGGCACGGAGGATTTGTGATGCGGTTTAAGTTTTCGGGCTCGGGGTGGAATATATGAAGCGTCACACTCAAGTGTGTTCGAACGAGCCCGAACGTCTATGGTCTAGATAGCCCTGAGCCCCTTCACGTATCTGAACTGCGAACACAAGCTGCTACGGTCTCCGTCGGGTCCCAAGACCTAAACTTAGTGGCTGAGTAGGTAACCTTTAGCCTTTTGGGGCTCTTATAATCCTACTATAACTCAGAAGGTTTACCTTTTTTAGGCCAGGGTACTCAGCCCCTAAGTAAAAACCCCATCATATCCCTGAGCCAGAGCAGGCGTCTCATTGTTGGAGCGCCTGCCAAAGCTCTTGGTGGTGCTGCTCCTGATCCCGGTGCAGGCAGCTCGGGTTTCGGAACAGAAGGCATCCCAAAACACCTAGAGATGCCCTGAACTGTAAACCCTACACGCCTTTGGAAAGCTCCCGGCCCTGAAGCTTGAAACTGCTCAGGTCAGCGCGTTGATAGTGTAGCTTTGCAGGGCCTATTCGCAAGGTGTCGTAGAACTTCATCGAGCTCCTGGTAAGAGTGTCCAGAATGACACTCAGGAAAAGCGGGGCCTGAAAGAGGGTTTGCTTTTTGGAGACAGGTTTCCCTCAACCAGGGCTTTGGCGTAGATCAACTTATAGAACCCCCCCAACTTGTTAGAAGAAGGCCCAGGAGTCTGTGGCAGCCTTGACCCCCCCGCTTTCCCCGAAGCCCAAGTCCTACTTAAACCTTCCACCCGGCTTAAACCCCCGTTGCCTCTTGCAAAGCCCCAAGACCCAGGAGGGCAGACGGAAAAAGGGGTGTTCAGAACGAAAGGCTTACACCGGAAATCCCCCTCCCCCTATCTGCAGCCCCAAGCGCGGCTAAGCCCCGAGACCTCTTAACCTTGGCACCCCTTTACTTTTGGACTTTTTAAGGCTAGGCCTACTGGTTTGTGTCTGGGTTTCCGATGATCAGATAGCTTGCCCCAAAAGCTTACCCAGCAGCCTTTTTTTGAGGTTTTGGTCATGGCGCTAGCATGGATCCCGTTCCAGCTTTGCCTCACCCTGAAGCTGGGAAGCAAAATCGGGGGGGGGGGGGGGGAGTCCAGAAATAGGGTCAAGGGCCATTTAGCACTGTGTTGCCTCAACAAAAGTGAGCGCTTCGAGGTGAGTGCTGTTCTGTTCCTGACTGTCTGACGTACAGGCCCCCCTTGCAGCAAACGCCGATTGTACCTTCCAAAGCACCAACTGCGTCACCACATCCTGAACCGGGGTTGTGGTGTGGGTTGATGGCCCCTGAAAGCATGGGTTAATTCCGGCTTAATATCTTGGTCAAGCTTTCGGGGGAGCAACGAGGGGAAGACAAGCAGCAACGACAACAACTGACGACACCGAACGCTATGCTCAGTCATCCTTATTCTTTCATCATCTATGCGCGGCGACACCACTCTCCAGCATCATGAGCTCAACGCCTAAACCTACTGTTTCCGGATGGTGCATGGCGAACTGGAAGGAGTTTACGACGAGTTTGCTGTGTTTCCGGCTTTGCGAAACTTGCATTAGAAAAGATCAGTCTGGAACCACATGGGTAGTTTTCTAAATTA